TTTTCTTCAAAATAAAGTAATGAATTAAAACTTCCCGCAAGTGCTCTTTTTTTGGCACGAAATTCGACATTTTTAAGCATAAAAATTTCTATGATGTTAACACCTTCAGAAAATTTGACATATGAAGTTTTGAAGCTTTCTGCCAATACAACAAAATAAGATATATATCAAATCGCATATATATCAACATATGTGTAACTCCATCTATTGAAAAAAAATCCGCATTATTAACTGGTACAACTAGTAAATGAAAATATACATTTTTTGCTGTTTCAGTTAACAACATATGAGAGGATGTTATACTGTTATATGCCAATTGTAACAACTAATACACCAAAAGGCTGTGGGTTTGATTCCCAGTCAGAGTACGTACCTAGGTTGTGGGTTTGATCCCAAGTTGGGGCGTTTACAGGACAACCAATACATGTTTCTCACTCACATCGATGTTTGTCTTTCTCTCACTCCCCTTCTTCTCTCTCTAAAAAAATCAATGAAAACATATCCTCAAGTCTTAGATTATAAACATCTTGGGGACAAGAACCACTCTTGAACTTACTCCCAGAATATAGCACACTCTTCTATATAGAAGAAGGAATATTAACTATAAAATATACACAGTTGGTCCATTTTTAGGATAAGGAAGCATGATTTTGTTTCATGGGTATTTTATTTTTCTTCTTTAAACTAAAGGGGTTGCTTGTCCTAATAGTATCAGACTCACATATAGAAAGACAATTTATCTAGAATGTGCAAGCAAAATCTTTCCTCTCCAAAGAGCTAGAGGACCAGCAAACATAGGATGATTCAGTTTAGTAGATTTTGATATTGCATATTTTCTTTAGTTAGAGACAGATTTGGCCGCTCCCCCCTCTCTTTTAATGATTTGCTGTGAATAAATCCTTGAAGAATCATATAACCCATGCCCATCCTCAAAATACACCAACTCTTCCATTAAGTCCAGGAAGAGAATCCATTATCCTAGTCTACTTATATATAATGGTAAAGGCTATCAAAACACGAGCCAGTGTTCACAATGCCTAATAAGAACCTTACTAAAATAGTTTCCTCTCTTTTGCTACTTCATGTGAGAGAGAGGACATCTGATCATGAGCCAAAATCTCGTTGACTTGAAGAGCAATCCTTGTCAGGGGTCTCAGGTCAGGAATCGATTATTACTGCTACATCTGTGGCAGGCCTTCGAAAATACAAAGCCATAAAGGACAGATTAGTGCCAATTATTTTTTTAAGATAATGCTAAATGTGTTTAGGCACCAGAACTAAAATCTAAGAGTCAGAACCTAAGTCTTAAGGATCCAATTCTTGTTTTCTGTAACAGAAAAGTAAATTATTCTCCAAGTAAAACAATCTAATGTTTTCTGAATCAGTGGTTCTCAAAGTATGGAGTCCCCAAATTAGCAGCATTAGCATCACCTACGGACTGGTTAGAAATGCAAATTATCAGGCCCTATCCAAGACCTACTAATGAAGAAACTGGGGGTGGGCCCCAACAATCATGTTTCACAGGCCCTCCAGGAGATTCTGGTGCACAGTAAAATTTGAGAACCACTGCTCTAGACTAGACCAAAGTGTGGTATGTGCATCAGGATCCCCAGAGAATTTGTTATAAATGCAGACTCTCAGGCCCCACAGACCTACTGAATCAGAAACCACATTCAACAGGATGACCAACTGATCTGTATATACATTAAAGCTTGAGCAGCACCATCAAGGATGAAACTGAGAAAATCAATAATCAAAATAAATAAATTAAATAAATAACAAGTACTTCTTCCTCATTTAATTTACTTTCCTCACTTACCACTCTCAGTACCTGGTGGGCCACGTATTACAACTTCCATCTCACGTGTGAGACACAGGAGACTGGATGATCGCCCTGATGTCACAAAGCCAGCAAGCAGAACAGCCAGGATTTAAATACAAGAAATTTGACTCTGAAATCTAGGCTCTTAGTCACCACCAATAACTATTCTGCTTATAACTCCAGTAAGGTTTTTGTTGTTGTTTTTTACCACATCACATTGCCTCTCTATTGGCAATTTCATTCCTGAGTAACCAATTTAAGCCTTTACCTAAAACTAAAAATAATATATATCCATTTTAGGTGAACAAATGTTTATTAAAGTCTGTTTTATAACAAACAACCCTGACCTTGTGGAGTTTATAGTGCTAGGCCAATAAGAGTAAGTGCTCAATAAATATTTGCTGAACCAATCCATCAGTGAATTACTTTTTTATAATATGCTAAGTGATAAGGAACAAAGATGAGACACCTGTACACTTTCTGGATATTAAGACGTTTCCTGTAAATGATGTATGCTGAGCTGAACCCATACAGAGAAGAAGGGTCAACCAGACAAAGAATGAGGGTAGGAGATCCCGGGCATGCTAAGAGCTTGGGCTTTATCACGGGATTATAAGATTCACTAAAGTACTTAAGGGGAGATATGGACTTAAATAGATATGTATGCATGCATATATACATAGTTATATATAATAAATTCAAAATATCAAGAATGAAGCCCCCAAAGCAATCAGATCTTGAAGTTTAAAACTAAACCATAGGATTTAGCTTACTATTGATCATATTCTGCTAGAGGGTAGAAATGTGTGGTTTGTAATTGTTGTCTTACCTCCCTACACCTGGGAATGAAGAGAGAGGGATTCATACCGGTTGTCTGCGGGAGGGACAAGGTCCAAAAGGAGCTGGAGGAAATGGAGATTTGACCTGGGAACCGTCAAAAAAAGAAAACGGGGAGCCCTCCCTTAGTTTTCATTATCAGCTCTTAGAAAGAATTATAGAAAATAGGAGCAGGACAGCTCAATTTGAGTGAAACATCAATTTTCTCTTTGACACCTAAGTGATACCTCATTAAGATGTCTGCCCCTGAGAATTCCCCCGAAAAGTGGAATTCTTCTTTTCTTTAGCTTTGTATGCAATTTTTAAAGTAGATTTTCTTGGAACTTTTATTAAGAATTATAGATATCCCAAGAATAATTTCCATATCTTAGTATCTCTATACAGTAATGGAAGAAAAAACCTATTGTTTTCCTTTCTCTCCTATTTTTGCTTATATCTTGTTTTATCTCAATGTATTAAATAGATAAAGTAACATCGTTTAAGAAGAAAGGGTTACTTGTATTATCCGTTGTATACATCAAGGTTTTTCTTCATCAAAGAAACTAAACTTTCCTATGTTCTTTATTAGGGCTTCAGTGTTACACACCTTCCCCTTGAGGTATTTTGTAAAGCACAAAGAGTTCAAAAGAAAAATGCTTTCATTCTCAGTTGCCCAAACCAACGGTCAGACTTGTAAGGCTTCCTCTTCAATAGGGTGTGTTGGAATCTAAACTCGTATTTGAGGCCAAGCACCCCACAGTCAGGAGTGCAGGGATGGCGTTTTTTCTTTGTCCAGACACCATCAGGAATAAGAGACATGACCTTCCCCAAAAAAAGACAGACATGACCCAAGAGATCAGGGTCACTTGTAGGTCCAGCAGAGATCAAAGCAGCCCTCCTTCAGAGGAACCTCTCAACTCCCTAGCCTGTCCTCAGAGAACATCAACAACAGTCTGTGTGAGGGCAAAAGGAAAGGAGGCGAGGGGTGGGGCGGGGGATGGCCAGTTCACTTCCTGCCAAATGACAGGAAAGCAACTAGAGAGAATGTCCACCCACCTGCAATAGCCTTGTTTGCCCTTAGTCTCTTTTCATCCCTATCTTGGCATCTCCAGTGAAAAAATAATAGGTCACCCAAATATTTTAATAAAATATTTTGCAAAAGCGGATTCAGAGTATTGGAACTACCTTAAACCAAGCCAACACAGCAACGAGAAACCCCACGTCAATTGTTCCTTATAGTAAACCTTGGTTCAAACATCAATTCTTGATATTCTTGTTATATCATAAAAGCATTAACCACATTGAAGGGAATTTTGATGAATATATGTTTAAATTATCTATAAATTCCTACCATTTTAGTACATATATTTTCATATGTATGTATTTTCTTCAGGGTTAATTATATGAGCAAGAAAGTATTTATAGACACAGTTATGGGTCTATTTTTGAAACTACCTGTGAAAATATTTTGCAAAGTACTAAAGCCAAATAAGGGGATGATCAGTTTAAACAGCATATGAAATTGTATCAACATTACACCAAAATTATTATCTATTCCAATTACCCCCAAATTTTGGAGACCTAGCAAAACTGGTTATTAATGGATTAATAAGCATTTGGTAAATGTCATCTGCTTCATTTCCCACGCTTTAGAAAACCATGTGCTTTGAGGGTGTGTGTGTTTTTTAACCTCTTAGCAGTGAGACATTTCTTGGTCATATAAACAAGTGGGTTGTTGAACAGATAATATACTAACATTTCATTTTTTAAATGCAGGGATAGTGTTTATCTCTAAGATAAGAAGTTTAAGAAATGACAATGCCATACCATGTCAAGTGGCTGATCATGTACTGTGATATTTTATCTCTATGAGCATGGCCTAAAAGTAGACTGTGTGAAACCATGAATCCTCCCCTACAATAATACTGAACATTTCAACCACCAAAGTACCACTTTGCTATTGTTCATGGCTGTTCCTTCTGCCTGAAATATTCTCCGCCTCCCAAACCCTCTCTACCATTAAATGGAAAAAGTATTTCAATTTCTGCATTTTCTGTGAAACCTTCCTTGTTCTTAGAAATTTCTCCTTTATGAGACTTAGAACTCTGTTACGCTAAGGTAAATACATGTTTTTAATAAGCTTACAAGTTTGTGTAGAAATTCTAGTTTGTGCCAAACGCTATATTCAGGATATAGAGAATATAAGTTTCTGCCTTGGGGAGCTTCTGCCTGTGAGGGAAGAGAGAGAACATCTAGCTAAAGAAATTGTAATCATGTGTGTGCCTTTCTATGCTAGAGATACTCACAGGCACGTGGAAGGAGCCCTTAACCTGGCCTGGGGCATCAGGATAACTTCCCAGAGGAGTAACACCTAAGCCTGGGAGGAAGGATTATTGTCCAGGCAGATTGGGTCATGAAGTGCGTTTCAGAAATAGAGAATCACATATCAAAAGGCATGAGACACCATGTCCAATTTCAGGAATTCAAGTAAAGTGCCTGGAATGTAAAGTGCTTTTTTAAAAAAATACATTTTTTATTGATTTCAGAGAGGAAGGGAGAGAGAAACATCAATGATGAGAGAGCATCACTGATTGGCTGCTTCCTGCACATTCCCTACTGGGGAATCAGGCCCATAACCCAGACATGTGCCCTGACTGGGAATCAAACCATGACCTCCTGTTCATAGGTCAACGCTCAACCCCTGAGCCTCACCGGCTGGGCTAAAGTGCTTTTGGGGTGGTGGGACATGAAGCTAAAGAGGGAGACAGGCCACATTGGGAAGAACCATTAGTGCCTGTATCAGTCATCTGTTGACACAATGAGACTGCCTAACAAAATATCCCTAAACTGTGAGGCTTAAAACAACAGCCATTTATAATTGCTCATAAGTCTATAGTCAGCAGGGTGGCTCTCCTGGTCTCATTTGGGGTCCTGTTATGGGTTCACTCAGCGAGATAGACCACCGACTCAGAATTTAAATTTAAGAGCCTTTATTAAGCTGGCCAGCTGACTACAGTTACAGCACCCTGCCGAAGCAGAGGCTGAACTGCAGCCCAGACTACAGGAGTTACATTTTATCATTAAATTCTGTGGAGGCCCAGAGAAAAATGTGTCTTTCAAATTCTGGGCCCCCCAATATGGAGGAAACTCTCTTTATTTATACTTTTCCAGTCCTTTGTCTCCCAAATTTGGAATGAGACTTCCGGGCCTTCTGAGAAAGAAGGCCTGCGTGCTGGGAAGGGGCAATGAGACCATATCTCAAGGCCTGGCCTGATGTCAGTACCTTCCTATCTATGTGTTTGAGGAACAGACAGCACAGCATGACCCGTCTGGCCGAAGCGCCAGATATGCAGCCCAGTACAGTCCCTTACATGTCTACAGTCAGAAGTGTGCATTGGGGAGGCACTCCAGCTGACCTTAGCTGAGCCTTCTCATGTGTTTGGGGGTTGGCTGGCTGTCAGGTGGTTTAACTGGTCTTGGCTCTTCTCCACATTCTTATCATATATCTGAAGTAGGTTAGCCTGAGCATGCTCTCATGACACACAGCGATGAAAAAGATAATATGTCCGGTCAGCATGGCTCAGTGGTTGAACGCAGGAGGTCACAGTTCAATTCCTGGTCAGGGCACATGCCTGGGTTTGGGGCACAATCCCCAGTAGGGGGCGTGCAGGAGGCAACTGATCAATGATTCTCTCTCATCATTGATGTTTCTATCTCTCTCTCTCTCTCCCTCCCTATCCTTTCCTCTCTCTGAAATCAATAGAAAAATATTTAATAAAAAAAAAAAAAGATATGGCAAAAGAGCTGACCAGCAATGAAGAAAGAGCGTATGTTTTCTGAAATGTGTAAACATATAAGACATCAAGGTAAGGGTAGTAAACAACTGTCCTCACACCTAGACATGATGCAGAAAGGCCAGCATATAAGCCATGCCCGTGCTATAGCTACTATTATGGACACGAAGAGATAGTGTTTTATTATAATGGGGATGGTGGTGTGTTTTGGTCCCTTGAAACCCTTCATTTGCGTCGCCAATAATTCTAGCTCTTGAACATGGAATACAAACAGGAGGCTGAGAACCTCGACTATAACAGAAAGCTTTATACCTTTATTGAAGATCTGGAGAATACATACAGATTTTGGTTATCTGGGCATTCTCTCTCACATGAAATATGGAATAAGGGAAAGGCTTAATTTAAGGACGGATTCTGCATCCCAGAGGCAATTTTCAGAAATGAGTAGTCAAAGTAAATTAGACCAACCCTAAAGCTGGTGTGTCTAACAAAGGACATTATATAATCTCAGATGTTCTCCTTTACTCTAATTTGTGCTTTGAGATGTAACTATCCCTCAGGGTGCCAGAAATAGAAGAGAGTGCTCAAAATTCCCAAAAGTGTTCCTCTCCTCCTGCCTCTCTATCTTCCAACTAAATTGTATCGGCAGCCCTTTTCTCCCCTGAAGGTTTTCGTCTGAACCAGATACAATGCTGGGGCCTCTCTTGGAGAAGCTTTTGCTTCAATAAATTTTATATGAGAAATAAATGTGAGAGCCTCCCGTCTCTGTCAGTCACATTCATTCAAAATAATAGCGCATGCCAGGACCGGAGGTTGTGGGGAGGAAAGGGGGGGGTGGGGGAGCGGTAATGTCATGAATTGTTTTCCTTCAGCTGGTACTGCTCAGTAACAACTGTTCATGCAAAACAAAAGATCACTTCAGAAGACCAGAGACAGACAGACAGACAGAGGCCAACAGAAAGAGATCATTATAATCATATTTTAGAGATCAAACAGCTTGAATTATGTTTGCTGGAGCCTATTTAAGTTTCCCAGTTGTTTCATATAAACATTACAATTTAACAAACCATTCCATAATAATATAGTATTAATGTAATGGCAAATGCATATAAGAGTACCTCCAAGCATCTAGCAGGTTTCTTATCTTCTATTATCTTCCCCGGTGCTGGGGAGGAAAGAGAAAAGATGTTAACACAGGGAGGCAGTATAGCACAGTGGTTAAGAGCACAGCCTTGGCATCACATCAGAATCAAGTCCCACCTTTGCCTCTTATATGTGACCTTTGGACAAGTTTCTTAATCTCTCCAAAGGCTCAGTTTCCTCAACTGTTAAATGGAGGTTGAAAATTGATCCACTTGATGATTATTGTAAGAATTAAGAGAGTGAATGCACATAAGACATTGAGCGCAGTGCCCGGACCCATAAAGAGCACTTAGTAAATGCTTGAATTTATAATCAATAAATGGATGAAGGAACAAATACTTTTTTGTAGACCTCTCATTTTCTGTCCTCATCCCATCCCCAATCTAAGCAGAAGGAGGGGAAGTTTTTGGAAGTAGCTGCAGCAAGTCATGTCAGATTGCTAAAGGAGAATGAGATGGCTCCAATATGCCCGACTCAGCTTTGCTGTTGGATCAAAGGCCTGTTACACAGCTGTGCTTGCTGCAGAGGATTCCTTCTCTCACCCTCCTTCCCCAACCCCACCCTGGGCAGGTCTCTGGTCACACAGCAGCCACCACGCCTGTCCACATGGGAGGTGAGTATTACGTGTCTGCACCCAGGTAATTCTTGGAAGTAAGGATTACACAACTTTTATGTAGAGACTCAGTCCCCTGGGGCAAAAGTCCATAGTGATAACAAGAGACAGGTGTGGAGGGCAGGGCAGAAGACTTCTGAAAAATCTTTTTTTAAATATATTTTTATTGATTTCAGAAAGGAAGGGAGAGGAAGAGAGAGATGGAAACATCAATGATAAGAGAGAATCATTGATGGCTGCCTCCTGCACACCCCACACTAGAGATTGAGCCCCAAACCCAGGCATATATCCTGACTAGGAATTGAACCATGACCTCTGATTCATAGGTCTACGCTCAACCACTGAGCCACGCCCGCACGCCCCACACTAGAGATTGAGCCCAAAACCCAGGCATATATCCTGACTAGGAATTGAACCGTGACCTCTGGTTCATAGGTCTACGCTCAACCAGTGAGCCACGCCAGCCGGGCCTTGTCTCTCTTAAAATAGAAAAAAATTATGAAGCGTTCCTAGCTTTAGATCTTAGCTATTCCCCTAAGATGTTTACTTAACTGTCTACAACTTCAAAACAACAGCAAGAATGACCACATACCACATAACCTGAAAAAAAAACAAAAAAAGGGCACATTATTTAGGTCTACGTGGACGATGAAACGCAAGAGGAATTTTACAATTACAGGTTGCCTTTGACAAAAGAACCAAACGGCCCTCTCCACGCCAAACTGATTTTAGCATTGCTTCGGCCTCAGAAGTGGGCACTGCGGTCACTTGCAATCGATTATAGACTATGTGAACGTCCACCCCAGGGGAAAAGAATCTGCTCACAGGCAAAACCGGACTGCTGCTTCTAATGCTTCCCAAAAGAATACAAAATACTTAAACATAAAGCTACTGGCCTGTGTCAAAGGTACAGGGCTGCTCAATGACACTGAGCTCAGCTAGCCTAAAGCCGCGTGAAGCACTGCACCCTGTCGGAAATTACAGCGCTGTCATTGTGTCGTAACAAGCCTCTATCTAATAATAAAGCACTGTGTTCCTGCTGAGTCTTGAACAAAAAAAAAAAAAATGAATCAGCAACTGGCTTCCTTGAAGGAAGGGGGAAAAGTGCGTCTTGGCTTCCATAGAAGAGGACATGCATTTGACCTCCTGAAGTACACATTTTGCTCATCATTTTTGAAATTCTGCCTTTCAGTGGGGGCTCCATGTGACCCAATTTGAAAATGCTTCTTATGTGCAGAAGATGGTGCCAGCTCTAGAGATTTCAGAAGGGCACTTGCTGTCTGTATAACTGGCTTAATGTACAAGAAATCCAGGTGGAGGGGGGAGGTATTGGAAACATGACACATGGGTGAGGTCGCATTTCCCTGAGCCGGCGAATGCAGAAACCTGGTGGAAATTTAGTGAGCATGTCCACAAGGTGTTTCCCCATTTTTAAGACTCAACTAGTTATATGGTAACTAAACTCAAGCACATGTGCTTAAGTACGTATAGTAAGGCAACCCTGGTGAAAATCTAGGGCAAAACAGGTTGTTATTCCGAAGGGTTGGTTGCTAGTTAGGAAAGAACAAAGATCACTATAGGTTATTCCCTGGAGTTGTATACTATGGCTGGTGCTTTAGGCTAGAGATGGCCTCAAGTTATATTTTTCCCTAATAAAATATTCTTATGGTTACCACGACCTAGCCCAACCCTGTTCTTCCACTATTTCAATACTCCGAGTACCTCTTTCAGCTTTGAAAACATAAAAACCTAATTTTTATCAGCAGAGGTATGTTCCAGATTGGTTTTGTTGCGTCTCAGACCTAGTCGCTATTAACATTTAGTTTCTGCTGGCCTCCAATCCAGAAGCTGATGTGTCCACTAGAGGGAAAAGCAAGAAATAGCTAATGGCATGGCATCTTTTGTTTTGTTTTTGCTTTTTCGGTGTATCTGTACCTTTGAGGAAATAATAATAGATATAGCTACCACTTACCAAGTGTTACGCTAGGCACCTTGCTAAAGTCTTTAAAACACGGTCGCCTTCCAGACGGTGCTGTGAGGGGAATAGTAAGATTGGATAGAGAAGAGAGGAAGAGAGGAATGGCATCACACAAATTGTTGCATTGTTGACGTCTAGCCAGAGTTAGCAATTTGTGTGGTACCCAAAGATCACAGGCATAAAAAGGCAGGGAGGAAGTTAACCAAGGTTCTCATGTAGGTCAGATTGCCTCCAGCTTAGGAAGGAATTCCAAATAAACAAACAAACAAACAAAAAAGATCTCTTTTAATCTGTCCATTTTTTAAGTAGAACCTATTCTCTTCATTTTACAGAGAAGGAATTAGAGGCGTTAAGCAATTTTCCTAGGGTCAGAGGGCTGATGAATGAGAGCACAGAGCTAAGCCAGGCTGGTTTTGACATCCATTATGCAATGCAGCCTCCCAAGGCTGTTTGTGATGGGCAAACATTACACTTACATTTCAAAGGGCAAGGAAAAGAGGGAGGTGGAAGCTGCTAACTGGGAGAGAAGCGAATGGAAATTTTTGTGCTGTTTACTCACCCACAAAGTTTACTGAGGGACATACACATTTTACGAGATCTTTACAGGGTGGCAGCACAGTGCCCGCCCTCAGGGTGCTAATGTTTTAACTGGAAAGATGCCTAAGGATCTGTCAGAGCCAAATAAGTGCTGCAATAAAGTTATACACAATTATTGTGCGTGAGAGGGTAGAGGAAGAAGGGATTTTTCCTGACAGCTTGGCAAACAGTTGGGAAGACTTGTTTTGCCTACTAATCATTACTATCACATCTGTTTTAATCTTCTTATTAAGAACATTTGGCATGTGTTTGACAAAATTAATGAATATTTATATTGAATATTTGAAGACTTCCAAGTCCATGAACTAAAAAAAAAAATTTTTTTAAAAATCTGTTTCTACATTCGCAGCTGCTTTGGTAGCAATGGAAACTGGTAAAATTTACAAAGAAATGACAAGCTATAAAGTTGAAGGTAAAGCTCAGTGGCTGAGTGAGTTGCCCAAGCTTATGCCATGAGGCAAGTGGCAAATCCACTGGTCCTAGCCCACTGTCCTTTCGTGCAACAACTTACATCCTCTCTGTTTAATTTTCAGAGTGTTTGATCAAGTTATTCTTTTTTATATGCTGGAAGGAAATGTGTTCAGTGAGGATTTACTGGTGGAGAAACTTTTAGAAATTTCCTACTGTCAAAGATGCAAATATTAAAACGTTATGAAAGGATAACCTAAACCACTTGAGCATCTGAAAACTTTCTTTTCATTTTGGTCCTGGGGCAACATGAAAATTATATGCTTTTGTAGAAAATTCTTTGGGTTTTAACCTCAGAAATGTGTGAGTGTTAAAGATTGTCTTTGTTTTGGAACTTGTGGATGATAGGAGATGATCTGGGACAATTTAGGGATATTCATATAAAAGTATAAACTGCATAAACCTCTGTATCATTTTTGTTATAGAGACTGGCTTTCTTTTTTCTGCATATTTCCCCTCAATTTAATTCATGAGACTTTTTTAAAGCTCCTTTTTCTATACTTTTCACTATTAAAAACACTCTTTTTTTTTCATTCTCCTCCTGTTGATAATTTTTCCACTTCTCATTACTGAATTATATAATGTTTTCATTACATCTCAGCACTTGGCATGAGGTTGTTTACATCAAATCCACTTACCCATACTTTAGAGATTGATATTGTGCTCTTTTAGTAACGACAGGAATGTAGCCAGAACACATACTCCTCATATAATCTGCTCACTCCCATAATTGGAAAAAATCCTATTCTGAAATGTTATCTATTGGGAACCGGGCAACTTTTAAACCCTATAAAGTGCATTTGCTAGAATTGTAAACAATGGAATCTTAGACCATTAGCCATTGAAGAGGCCTAATTTTACACAAGAGGAAACAAAAGCCTGGAGATCTAATAATCTGCTCACTCCCATAATTGGAAAAAAAAAAATCCTATTCTGAAGTGTTATCTATTGGGAACCCGGCAACTTTTAAACCCTAAAAAGCACATTTGCTAGAATTGTAAACAATAGAATCTTAGACCATTAGCCGTTGAAGAGGGCTAATTTTACACAAGAGGAAACAAAAGCCTGGAGATCTTTGTACAAATTGGTTTCTTTCACCTGCTAGCGATATGACTTATAGAACCTAAAGTAAAAGATGTGGTGTCATTACATCATTGATTAAATGAGTAACGCATGCTTCCTTGGTTGATTTGGTTTTGGAGGTATGTATTATAATGCGGGAGGAGTTGGGAATGCCTTTGGGCCCTTCTGTCCTTTAGTTTATAAACATAGAATCACTGGTTTAAAAAAGAAGAAGAAAAGAACAAATGTACAGCATTTTTCCCCAGCTGCGTGGGCTCTTCTACATGAAGCCGGGTTATAGGACAGCAGAATCACCTTAGAAACGCCCTCCAAGTTAGTGATATGTTATTCCTAGTTGCTTCAAGAGTGGACATGAATAAAAGGTATGGACCTATGTTTACCTGCTAGAATATGCATCAGATGTGTATGGCTCTTTTTGACTATCTCTGCATTGAAGAACAAGAGAGCCAAGTCCAACCTCAGGTCATCTGTCTGTGATACGTCATGATTTTCCGATGACGGCAAATCCACAAAGCAAGTTCCAATCTATGATCTGACAGAGAAAAGGGTTTTGTTCCAGGTGAATCATGACTATTTCAATAACAACATTTGGAATGTTATTTCTGCAATGTATTAATCATATTATTTTATGAGATGTTAAATCTAGAAGAAGATATATTCCCCTCTTTCCCAAATAAGATGATTCTCTTTTCTTTTTTGACTCTGCTACTTACCAAGTGTGTGTGAATTTGGGCAGTTTCCTTACCCTTTGAGTCTGTTTCCTCATCTACAAAAATGGAATAAGGATACCCTCTTCACAGAGTTGTGGTTGATAATGAGAAATTATATAATATGCTTATAAGATAGAAGGTACTTAATAATGTTACCTCACTTCCTTCTCCACTCTTCTATATCCTTGTCCTATTTCTTCAGAAATATAATTTAATACTTTATAATATCTTTAAAGTATAATGACTTTAATCACATTTTAAAATTTTTCATTGAGGTAAATTTATGTACAATAAAGTATATAAAGTGCACAAAAAAGACAATTTTTATGTGTTTACACCCATGTAATCAGCAGCCAGAGCCAAACATAGAACATATATAGGCCCCCAGAACATTACACATGCCACCTCCAATTAATACCTAATCCAGAGGTGACGATTATTCTGACTTCCACAGTTATCACTCATCTCAAATATTTTTAAATAATAGAAAAAAATAAATGATAATATATCCATACCCAGGAATTATTTTTAAAATGCAATAGTTCATGCATTCTAATGTGGAAAGATTCCAAAATACATTGTTCTGTATAACTGAAAATTAATAACAGAAGTGATCATAAAAAGAATGACAGATGGAGAGGAGAAAAGAAATATTATAAGTAAAGCTATTCTGAGTTTTTGAAATCCTTACCAAGTGTGGCCTCCCTTAATGACAGAGGAAGCATCCACAGTGAAGTCAGCCACCAACCACCTAAAGTGGAAGAAAGCAGGCAGCACTGTGGGACCATATATTTACCGCAGCAAATGCACTCCTCTCCCTCTAACTCGGACACCACCACTTCCTGCGCTGAGACTCCTTCTCGCAGTACTTGCCAGGCCCCGCCTTCCCTATCTCCATCCAAAGAGCATAGATGAAAGGCAGGGAACCCTGGGCACCCCACTGTGGTTTATAAGACTCTTCCTAAAAGTCACAACCCAAGTGGATTCTTGCTATGCCATAATATGGGCACCCCACTGCGGATTATAAGACTCTTCCTAAAAGTCACAACCCAAGTGGATTCTTCCGGGATGTGGCGAATAAATGTAGCTGCAAAGAGCATGTTAGTTGGTGTTAGCCAAAACCAATGTAAAGGGGCAAAGCTTTGTCTCAGAAAATCCCGAACCTATCTAATTTGCTTCTATACCTTCAGACTAAATTTTTGTTAATAACTGGATTTAGGTAGTCAACAATGAAATGATTTCAAAGAGTAGCTGGTTTGTTTTCAAAACAATCCAAAAGCTAGTATTTGAAAAGCACCTTCGTTCTTCCTTTGCAGGTAAATGTGAATGAGTGGGCACACCCACAGTTGTGCATTAATCGTTTCCTCTACAATTACCAGCAAGAGCCTTGAAAGCCTCCTTATTAATAATTCTCACAGCCCCGAACCTTCTAGAGTGCTATGTAAGCTTCTCTCCTCTTGTCCTGTTATTTATGGAGATGGGAAACAACCGGTGTCTTTTTGGTAATGACCCTTCAACTCTGTTAGACCTTTATTCTCTGAGCTAAGGAGCCCACAGCTTGTTGGCCTTTCCTCTTAGCCCTTATTTTCTAAGCCTTAATTACATTTTTGCTCTTCTCTGGAGTTCTGCCAGTACCCCACATCCTCCTTAAAGGGGAGACACAAAGTAGTCACAGTTGGGGTCAGACCAGTGCTGGGAAAAGCTGACAGGCCACTTCCTGCCCTTTGCCTTGCATGCATCCCACTATCTTGTTGGCTTTCTAAGTAAACAGCATTTGTTTAGCTAACTCTAACAGGGCTGCCACACTGGCTTAAAGTCAACCTGGCCCCATCTGGCATGGCAGCTTTTGGGTTTTGTCCTGTAAACTTGTTGCACTTACCCCCTTGAACTTTATCGAATTCAAAATATTGTACCCAGCAAAGTTTCTGGGTCACTTTGCATTTGATCCCTACTTTCTCACTTCCTCACAGAAGATTTTGCAAACACAGGAAGTGCCTTCCCAGAAGCCAAGCCATTGATCAAGATTTACCAGGATTTTTTTTTTCTGTCTCCCCCGAGCCATTCACAAGGCAAGTGCTGACAATAAGGTGATAATAACCACCATTTATGTAGATATTATGCTAGGAAATTTTACATGCATTAATTCATTATCTCCTCACAACAGCCATATGAGGCAGATCTTATTACCCGCATTTTATGGAAGAGGAACCTGAAGTTAGCTAATTTAAGGAATGTGTTATGGCCACAGGATTCAAACTCCGGTCCCTCTGACTCCAGAATGCACTGGACCGCAATGCCAGGAAACCAGTGCTCACTGGCATTTGGGTGTAACTCACTAAGCAAATATGACCCTGCCTATAAAATATATGTATGAGTTATCCTGAAAGTCAATAGCAAGCATGGGTGCCTGACAGACTTAGGAAAAGGGAAAGGGATGAAAGTAAAAGAGAAGGCCAGACAGACAGGATGGGAAAGAGAGGGCACAGTGGAAGGTCATCCAAACCTGTCTCCGGTGACCCTCTGGGAGGCTCCCGAACACCTGATTCTTTCTGATCATGAAAGCAATAATGTGGGGCAGAGACCAATTGTTCAGTGGCCCTGACAGAGTGTGGCACATCTCCTACATTTCCTTGGACACTAACAAAGAATTACCCAACTGAGGACCAGAGAAACAGGAGATTCCCTGATGAGATCCATTTATTTAATCGGGTCTTGCAACTGTTAATCTACTACTGACTGTTCAGAGGAGATAAACATTATTTGTCCTATGAAGTCTGTTACTGCTTTACCAACAAAATGAATTTCATGATTAAATGGAATCGAAACAGGGGGAGTACTTGAAAGCCATTTGTCTATATGTGCCAATAAAGCTGTACAGACATGTGAAAACCTAGAGAGAGGCAGTATGGGAAATGGGGGGAGGGGCATCTTTCAAATGATACCATCTGAATGTTTTATTACAAGATGTTTGCATATTATATACATTAATTTTTTAAAAAATAGATTGTACTTAACATACCATATGCCCAAAACTCGTTTTAAGAAATTTTATTGTTTAAATAGAAAAAAAACTAACTTCTGTGGGCAAAATATTAAATAAAATACAGTAAAATAATATAAAGTAAAATTTAGTAAGAAATGTGGATTTGGGGAAGGTTATCTTTTAGAAGTAGATTCTCTGAAATCAATTTTTAAAGCGCCTAAGCAGAAATGGAATTCTTAGTTCTCGATCGATATCAATTCTACAAGCCCAGTATGATTAGGAAGAGTGACCCAAATGTCAAACTTTCCCTCAAGAATTTGATGAACTTTCTCTACTTTTTTTTAATTCCTATTTCTTAATACCATTTCTGACTAAAGTTGGACCCATACTAAATTAAATAAGAATTACTTCAAAAATGTAATACTACTTTCATGAATTTTCTAACAATCTTAACCTTACCTGTCTCAGAACACAATTTTACAGAGACCTGACAAGCTTATCAATACGTATTTAAAGGTTGACCATCAGAGAACTTCTATCATGCAGCTGTTCTGATTTAGATGTTTCTCTTATGAAATCAGTACATTTGTTGAACTTTTTAAACAAAAGGGTTTCAGGATTTCTCAATAGTCCTTCTAAGTCTGCTTGCTTTTGTATCCCGCTAGTTTCCAAATTAAATCCATTTCAATCACTGCCTGACCAAAGTTTAAACTTAAAAGTAGACTCAACAGTTAATCAATGGGTTGATCTGCTGATGCAGTAGAGTGTAGTTAGGCCTGACCAGAGGGCATCCTGCTAAAACAGTCAACAACGTGTTTTTGATATAATTCAGCACAGAGAATCTAACCTGGCAGTAAAACTGCATCATATGAATTAAGTGATATTCAGGACCTAGATAAATGTTTGTTGAAATTGATATCGAATCAAATCTCTAAGTTCCTCCATTATATGATATGATAACAGTCATTTGTAAATAGTTTACTAATAGGTCTACAATTAAGGCACAATCTGTTTTTCTACAGTAGAGTTCCTTTAAAACAGCAGTATTTATTATTAGGTAGTATTTTGAAAAACAGTAAATATATTAATCTAGAATCTCAGCCAAATCTAAGGTTGTCTGAGTTAATGGCTGTTTCTATGTAGGAAAAGTTTCATAGTAAGAAGAAAAAATGTATATATAAATTGTTGTATGCAGCCTATATGGAATTACCTTAATTTAAACATGATCAAAATAGACCACCTCCCGGTTGACTCTGCATCAGTTTTTTAATTTGTAAAGATGGTGTTAGAAGAAATTTAAATGGCAAGCATCTATTCTCAGTTTAGTTCTTCTAAACTTTATTTGCCTGGATTATCTGCAGGCTCAAAATGTTTGGGGATCTTTCACTATGGCTTTGAGAAAATCATGTAGCCAATTTGAGTTCACAACAAATTTTCCGCATCCGATAGTAACTGAAGAATGCCAGTAAAACACCAAACAATTTGGCATCAGATGCGTTCCAAAACTCCCATTTCGAAATTAAAGGCATCCTCAAACCACTGAACCAAGGCCAAGGAGGCCAGGCAAGTAACATCATTAACATCTAATGGAAAGCAACAGGGCAGAAAGAACTGCATTTCCTTACTTCTCTGCTAGAATGTGATGAACAGTCATGAGGAGTATATTTTATAGTGTTTGCGCCTTATCTTTCCCTGCTTGGCTCACAGGTATCCTCTGAAACAGATGCAAGGCATCAATCAGCAAGTGTTTGGAGTGTCTTGAAGTCAACACCTAGGCAAGCATGCCACCTAGGGTAGAGGTCTGTATATAAACATAACAGACAATGAGGCAGAGTGATTTCAATGGTCCCAGGCTGAGTCCCAGCCTCACTACAATGGCAGGGAATGGTCAGGGACCAAGCAGCTTGGCTACAAATTGCTGGAAGGCAGTGCAGCTCATGGTAGAAGGGGAGGGCCTTGCAGCCAGCTAGTTTGCATCCCAGCTCGGACACTTCCTAACCAGATAAACTGAGCAATTTCCTTCACTGCTCTGAGACTCTGCTTTCTTGTTTGAAAAGAGTGATATTTCATAACATCCATCTCAAAGTGTTGTTGCAAATATCAATGAATGCTTATAAAGCATGTACAACAGTAGTTAGCATAGTTGGCATGGAGAGCATGCTGTTAATGTTCGCTATTCATCATTAAAACTAAGTATCCATTGTCACTATAACTCTCAGGATGGTTTAATTCATAGATTTATTATGCTTGATTTCCAAGGCTCTAGTCTCTCCCTTCTCTGAACCACCTTATTATGTATGTCTGCCATGTTAAGCTTTCTAGAAAGTCTCCTCCATCATTTCACTTTCCTGCTCAAAAGAATTCAAGGACTCCCTACATCCAAGAAAATGTCTCAACTCCTCAGTCTACCTAGCAAAGCTGCCTATACAGTCTGGTTCCAATCTGCTTTACCAGCCTTCTACTCCAACTTGGCATCAGCCATCTGATACATATTTCTACTTCGTGTTTCGTACATACACTACTAAGTACGCAATATGTGGTTGGTACCTCTTTGCTGATCTTATTTTTGCTCCTGCAGCCTGGAGTATAAATGTTATGTCTGACTGCGGCAGAGGATCCTGAGGCTGTGGTCTAACCAGAGAAAGGTTTGCACAGAAACTCCAGTCTCATCACAGTGCATCCTGGGAAACTTGGCAACAGTAACAGGGTAAGCTAAGGCCACTGTCATAGAACTACCATAGTGTTTAGCCTCAAAAGTGTTTTTAAAAAATACGTATTATCTATTAAAGCTATTTATATA